ATTCTGTCCAGAGATATCAGAATGTCTATTCCTGTACACCCCCACCTCTGGCATGGGACACAGCCCTTCCCTGCACACAAATGGGTTGTCAATTACGTCCAATGAATGGCCTCCCGAGAGCCCTGTTGGGGAAGGGATTATCTGCTCATCTCCTGTAAAGCACAGAGCCACACTCAGAACCTATGGATTGCGATCGCCTGCAGGCCAGCCACGGGCTTTCCCATCATCCTCACACTTAGACTTTGAAGCCTCGCCTTTGAATCGGAAGCAGGCCGCTGTCATTCCAGAGGCCCCTGTTCATCTCTGGCTTCCTTCCAGATGACCAGGGGCCCGGGGTCCCTGGGCTGCCTGGGCCAGGACAGCCGCCTTAGGAGCAAATGGAAATGCAGCTTCCGTGGCTTGTTTGCCTTCCTGTAACCCCTTCCCTCTCACCTTCGGTCAGGGCCTGCTGTCTTGCACGCACCAGTGCTTAGTGCCATGGTGAAACCGAGGCGGAGAGGACGCAAGAGGACTGGCACAGGAGGGGGGGCACCGCCCCGGGAGCTTCCCCTGCGTCAAAGCAGCTTCCTCAGTGAGCTCCAACACAGATCCTTGCTGACTTCAGTCTGGAAAGCCTGACAGTGCCACCCTAGTTCCTGGGCCTTGGAAAGGCCAAAGCCACGAGCAGGCAGCCACTGTTTCATAGGAGAGCTAGAGACGCTGTTGCCCACAGACATCAAAGCAGGGGTGCCGTCTTCCGTGTGCACATTGGCACGGGTCTTGGAGGCCCAGATTAGCTCCTGGCTTGAACTTATATCACCCTTACCTGAAAATCTGCGTCTGCACCGCTCATCTGCACGCCCCTTGAGGGCAGGGACCAGGCCCCTTCTGTGTGGCCTCAGCACTTGGCCAAGTGCAGGCGCGTGCGGGTCGAGTTGAGCTGCTATTTGCTGATGGGAATTTGGGGGCATGTCACTTGTCCTTGTTGAGCCTCCATTTCCTGGCCTGTCAAACTGGGGCAATGCTCCTGTTATCCACACAGTGTCATTTAAGGGTGACATGAGAGATGGCATGAAGTACCCAGCATAGGGCAGGTGCTTACAGGCTGTGGGGTCCCCACCCTACTGACACACCAAGCACACGTCTGCCCTGCCATGGTGGGGAGCAAACAACTTTAGGGTTCCGACTCCCCGGGAGGCCAGGCCGGGCATTTCACTGTAGGATGTTGAAGCCGCAGGCAGTCGTCACTGCGAGAAGAGAGCCTGGCTCTGAGGTCCGCTGTCTCCTGGGCAGCCTGGTGGGAAGGAAGGAGTTGGCAGCGGCCCCTCACTCTGCCGGCCTCTCCTGCCCTTTGTAGTCCATGAGGCGCGAGGAAGTTGCCAGGTCTCCCAGCAGAGGGAGGGGTGATGTCCCCTCTGTTCTTCCTAATTTGTTGCTAATCAGATTCTGCTTGCAGCCGGGCTCTCTGGGGATGAATCTAATAAAGGAGGCGGCGACCTGGAGAGGACAGACGACAAGTGACCGGGGGGGGGACAGCACTTCTTTTAGTACATTTTCCTGTTAGACTCAGAGTATTAGAGACCCAAGGATTCCCAAGGAGGATCGAGAGCGTCCCTGCCTTTGAGGAGCAGACAGGACACTGCCAGGGTAAGGAGGCTCCGGGAGAGCCTGGGGACAAAGTGGTCTGCCCACCGTGGTCTCTGGGGAGTGGAGGCAGGGGTGTGGGGTCCGCAGCAGCAAGCCAGGCTAGACCGTGTCCTTGGATTCTGTGAGCCCAGGCGTCTCCCCTAGAGGGCCTAGTAGGAACAGTGGGGGCTGCAGATGGAAACGGGCAGGATCATGCCAGGCAGCTGGCATTTCACTGGCACTCGGGGCCTCTTGCGCAGGGGACAGCATGACCTTGGGAGCTGGCTTTGTCCCTGGTGCATCTGTCACATTGAAGAGGGAGAAGCTGCAGGCCCTGACTTGGGTGTGGCAGTGAGGATGCTCAGGAGGGAAGTGAGGGGAGGGGCCCCAGCATGCAGCGACCTGGGCAGCCTTCTGTGGAGGAGCTGAGGTGTCACCTGGGCCTGGAAGAAGGGCAGCCCCAGTAGCTAGTGGGGAGGGCATGAGAGAACTTGGTGACGACGGGAGAGGAGGTGACTTGGAATGAGCTGAGTTTGAAGCATCTGTGGGATGTCCAGGTAGAGATGAATAGTGAACTGTCAGAAATGGGGCTTGAATTTGGGGTGGTGGGGACAGAACTGATACCCCTGTAGGTGACAGATAAAGACAGAGGCAGGAGTTCCAAAAACAGGATTTATTGTTGGCTGGGGCTTCTGGAATCCTGTATTCCCGTCCACCCTGGGAATGTGGACTGGGGCTGTGTTTCTGGGAGATGATGTGACGGAATGTGTCAGAAATCTAAAACAGAACCTAGCCCTTGTTTCAGGATTCCCTGCAGAGAAGTTTGCAAACATGGCCACATCCTGTTGTTTATTTGGTGGAAAACTGAAAGCTAGCTAAATGCTGAGCAATGGGAACTAGTTGGCTAAAAAATGGCCGTGCAATGCAAGAGTGTGAGGTTACGAAAATGATGATGTGGGCGCATATCCATTGACACAAACATCCATGTGTGCTACGCCCTCAGTTAAAAAGCAGGTTAGAACATGGCACGATCCTGCTTCTATAAAAGGATTCATATGTGTTTTTTAGGAAGAAGTTGTGTGAGGATATAGATCAAGTGCTGATGGCCTGTCATTTTACCTTTTTTGCTGATCCATATTCTGTGGTGTGTGTGGATTATTAACACACACACATCCTTTTTTTAATCAGAAAAAAATTTTTTTTTGAGACAGAGTCTCATTATATCACCCAGGCTGGAATGCAGTGGTGCAATCTTGGCCCACTGCAAACTCTGCCTCCCCGACTCAAGGGATTCTAGTGCCTCAGCCTCCCGAGTAGCTGGGATTACAGGTGTGAGCCACCATGCCCGGCTAATTTTTGTAGTTTTAGTAGAGATGGGGTTTCACCATGTTGTGGCTGGTCTTGAACTCCTGGCCTCAGGTGATCCACTTGCCTTGGCCTCCCCAGGTGCTGATTATAGGTGTGAGCCACCGCGCCTGGCCCACACACCCCCTCCCCTTTAATGGTGGAGTTGCCAACAGTTGTCTGATGTGGTGAGAGAACTGGAGAGCAGAGAAGGAGCCCATCCCTGGGAGGGATTGAAAACCAGCTCCTGGGCACTGCAGGGCAGAGCGTGTGCCGGGTATGAAGGGGGTCAGTGGTCCTGTGCTGGCCACTGTCCCCCTAGTTCTGATACAGTTGCTGCCAGGAGAGGCTGGACTGTGTCGAGGGGCCAGTGGGGAACCGTCCGGGGCGGGTGGGGGGCAGCAGCAGTGCTCTGGGGTCTGCTTGTGGTGGCCATGGTGGTGGCCATGGTGGTGGCAGTTGCAGTGGCAACTGTGGGCCATGGCGGCACTTTTCCGTGGCGCACAGGCCGCTGTCAGGTGAAGGGAGAGCAGGTGAGGCCATGCTTGTTCTCCTCCTGCCGCCTCTCCTCCCATCCCCAGCTGCTGGGTGCTCTCCTGCCTGGCACGAGGCTGTGCAGGCACTGGGCACTCCCTTGGGCTCCTAGCAGGGCCTTCTCATTCCTGTTTCCCTAGGAACCACCCGCTCTCCTTTCCTCCTGGAGGGTCACGTGGGGCGGAGCACCTGGGACAGCCGTGCTGCGCTCTACCCAGCCCCCTCATAGGCCTTGTTTCTGGGGGCCTTCAGTTTTGGAAACCTCACCTGAGCGCCCCTCTAGAGTGCGGATCCTCCCCGCCCCCTGCTTGGAGGGGAAGCGCCCTTTCCCTGTGTGCTGACAGGTGCCTGTGTGTAGCACAGTCAGAGCACTTCTATTCTGCAGGCGCGATGGG